AATGTTCAAGAAAATATTTAGTTGTGTCAGCTGCTGGGTGTGTGTGTTTGTGTGTGTGACTTAGTGTTGGACTGAAAGGGACATTTTTTTTTTCATAGAGAACTTGCTTAAATGTGGACAAGAATTAGTACAGGTTAGCAACACTAGGTTGTAGAACTCTGAATCAGAATTGTGTTAGGCACTAGGAGGGGCAGAGTGGTATCCCTCTGGGTGCCATTCTGATTAGTTGAAGTTGGAGACTAGTAACACTGTTGAGGAGTCTGAGGCCACATCCACGTTCAGGAGATTATTACTAATAGTTAACATTTATTTAGCACTTCCTACACACCAAACATTCCTTAAGCACTTTGCATTATTTAATTAGCTCATTAACTTGTAAGAGACAAGTACTTGTATTGCCATTATTTCCATTTTACAGATGAGAAAACCATGCAGTCATTTATTGAATACCTTCCAAGGGCCAAATTGTCCAGGTTTACACAAGTAGTAAGTGAAAGAACTGGGATTTGGTCCTAGATTCTACTCATAATCACTAGATAGTGTTGAATGCTATGACTGATTGCAGGAGGAAGAAATGGGATATCATGCATTTTCACCCTCTCATTCTGGTCTTTTCCTCTGGTCTTTTCCCCTTCAGTGATCCTCTTCCCCCTTTCACATCTAGTCAAATTAAACTATTTTCTCATCACCTGTGTTCTACACTCTTGTATGGCGTATTGTCAGTCCTGGAGTGCCCAGCCTCTAGCCCTTTGCAGGCTAACTCCTACTAGTTCTTTGGAATTCTGGTCAGGCATCACTTCTTACAGAAAATCTTCCCTGATTTCATCAATCAGAATTGGTGCTCCTTCTATGTGATTTCTCATAGTTTTATGAGGCTCACTTACAACATAACACTTTTTATTGTGAATTGTTATGGCTTATTTCTCTTAAAATTAGCTAAAAAGAAGAGGACATTTAGTGTTTTCATTGAGTGAATGAGAACCTGATGCCTTCACCTGTTGGCTCCAAACTGTTGGTATTGTTTTGTCAAAGTTACCTGCTTCTCAGGTTCATTTTTGTAATTGTAAATAAAACACAGGTGTTGGACCAGTTGAAACAGGACCAGCTCTGTTATCTTTTTCTTCTATAAGTTTGGGAACTTCTAAATATTCAATAAAAATTTTACCTGTTTACATTTGTTTTCTATTATATGCATACAATATGGTATTTCTTTCCATAAACAATTGTCTCTCTTTTGTAGCTAAGCTTGCTAAGTGTGATACCTTCATTGAAAACAATCAATTTATTGGGAACAATACATGGGCACTTTGTATTAAAATTTTTACTTCTTAAGTTGTGCTATGGAGAGGCATATCATATCAATGTGTATGTTATTATATACACATGTTTTAAGTATGATTATTTTATAAAAAATAAAAAAGAATATGTTCTTTATGTATAACAAGTTGTAGAATGAATTATAGAATAAATCCTATAAATAATATAAAGAAAATGAACTTGTCTAAAAAAATGTCCAGGGAGTTAGTTAAATCTGTATGGAGTTACAGAATGGAGAAACGACAACAACAACAACAAGGTACCAGTTATTAAAACACAGATACAATATATATAAAATGTTATCCTGACCAGTTATATATGAGAGATGGAGACTAGAATCTTGGGTAATATTGGGTCTTCATGAATTAAATCAATTACGTTTAGAGAAGCTAATTATTGATAGTGAGATTAAAACATAATTAGCAGGGGCGCCTGGGTGGCTCAGTTGGTTAAGTAGCTGCCTTCGGCTCAGGTTATGATCCTGGAGTCCTGGGATCGAGTCATGCATCAGGCTCCCTCTCCGCAGGGAGTCTGCTTCTCCCTCTGACCTTCTCCTCTCTCATTCTCTCTCTCTCTCTCAAATAGATAAATAAATATTTAAAAACATAATTAGCAGTTATCAAGTGGTCTATAGGTGTTCTGATCATTAATGGAGCAATGGGTAGATTCCTAGAGACTTGGACGTTTTCATTTTATTTCTTTTCGGGTAAACGTAAATTTCTTTCTAAGCAGTTTCTGGGGAGTAATGGGGAGGACACTTACTTAAGTTAATTCATGATTTAAATCAGATAAACACATATCCATTTCCTGAGATAGGATAGCCAATTTATGTATGTGAGGCAGGCAGACTGAGAAACAGAAAAATGAATGACAGCCTCGATGTTCTTTTTTCAAATTCTTAACCTCAAGCAAGAATTTCTGTTTCTTGTTGCCTTTTTTTTTTTTTTGGTAATGATGACAGTCACAAAGAGAAAAAGAAATGCTTTTTTTTCTTGTTAAAAATTTACATTATTCACGCTAGTTAAATATCAGTGAAAACTGTCCTTATTTTACTCAGTAGATAAAGCTACAAGTTTACAAGGCGAGAAAAATTTCTCCCCCATTGGAATGCTGTGAAATATATTTTTAGAAGTGTCAGAGCAGGAGGAAATCTAGTTTGCTGGCCCTTACATTAGGCTTCCATTTTTCTGATGTGACAAATAAAGTCACTTTCGAGCAAGGTGGTTCTTTTTGGCACAGTGTTCTGAAGGGACCTCACTAATTCTTTTATTTATTTATTTTCTCACTAATTCTTTTAAAAACTAGGTCATACCCCACTACTGCAAATATCACTCCAGAGAAAAACTCTGTGCAACAACAGCTCTTTAAGATCCAGTCAGTAATCTCTTTATTTCACAAAATGACAGAATTTGGCAAAAACCCAGGAAAAAGAATCAAGAATCTTCTGGGATTCTTTAAAATAAAATAAGACTTATTTAGCTAGCATGTCAAACTAAACTAATAGCACATCTATTTTACTTGAGGGTTTGCCTATAATGTATATTTTCTGTATCAGGAGGTACCACTTGGACTCAAATGTAACTTAGTGCAGCTTCAGAATTGTTACAGGAGAGGCTAAAGGAAGTTCAGGATGGGGGCTGCTGGGAATCTGCATTTTAACAAGTACTCCGGTGATTCTGTTGCACTTTGGGGCGACCTCAGAGATTAACTCTTAATAATGCTCACAAAGAAATTTGCTTTTAGTTAAGAAGAGCATAAAACAGGTGACGATATTAACAGTTGATTGGTTTAGTATGGCTAAAAGGTGATAGGTTCTTTTAAAAAAAATATTTAGTTAATCAACTGGAATTAAACCTAGTTGTGGACATTGCTTTTCAATTTGTTCCACTCGATAGACTTGGAGTATCTATGACCTGTGATAAAAGAATCTATTCTCACAAATTATGTGGCAACTTTCCTCTTGTTAGAGTCTTTATGTCAGTAGTGATTTGTGTTGTAGAGTTGGTTCCCCCTTGTTAAAGAATGAGTCCATCAACCTGGCAGCTTATGCCAGTTTTCTCAAGCAAGGCTAGATACAAACCACCTGTAGATCTTTTAGAACTTAAAATTGCGGAGGCTATGCTCCTTACCCCAGTCAGAATCACTATGCACAATGCCCAAAAATCCATTTCCTTGAAAGATTAGTGTGCAGCCAGACTTGAGATACAGTGGTTTAATGATAGCAAAAGAAATTTTGAGGCTTTTAAATAGATTCTTCTTGGTTAGATATTTCTTTATTCCCACAACCATTTTTGTGCTAGGTTCAATGTATTGGCTGTAACTCTGGATTTTGTGCTAAGCCATCTCTGATACAGACACTGTGATAAGGAATGTGTAAGACTGCTAAAGGGGTTTCACTTCTGGAATTGATAAGCCAGAGAGGCCCAGGACACACTGAAAGATGAAGTTTTCTCTAAGTTGCAGTTTAATCATCTTGATGAATAGGGTAGAAAACTTGTTGAAGCATTGTCATACCACCTGGTCAGTAGAGCTGGGGAAAGAAGGTTTTGGGGAATTTAGCACTTAGGCATTTTAATCACCTTGGTACACACTACAGGCTAGGTAATATGAGCTTGATTATGCTGAAGAACAAAGGTTCTGGCTGGCAGGTCTGAACGGATTTAGCGTTAGGTCAAGTTTTGAGAGATGGCAGAGGCAATGGACTTCCTGACTTCTACACGCTGATATTACAGACAGAAGGATGTCTGGGCAATTTTAAAGATTCCTAAGTTAGGTTATTTTACAACCTTCCTCACATGCCTGAATTGTTCAAGATGTTGAGAGGGATATCTTCCTGCATGTTTTTCCTATATGTTTCTTCCTGAGCTTGCTTGTATAGTTCTATGACAGAATGTAAATTTCCAGAAGGCAAAAATTACTTACATCGCTTTCTGACCGAGGGTCTAGCACAGTGCCACTGAGACACGAATGCTAAATACTTCAGAATGAAAGTAAACTTAGTGTTCTCTACAACTTCTAGTTCCCACATTCCAACCAACAAGTTGGCAGAGATTACTGCCCCATAAACTAGGGGTAGGGTACGCACTTTCCCTCAGCCGGTGCCCCAAAACCCCATGTTTACTCAGTCCCTGGAATGCTTTCCATCACCGAAGGAAGGAAAAGAAAAGGTCATGAAACTTAGATAACATAGAACAAGGGCTAAACCATTTTCTGACAGGTGCCCTTAAAATCTTGCTACTCAAAGCGTGGTCTCCAGATGAGGAGAATCATCACCATCTGGAGCTTGTTAGAGAGGCAGAATCTCGGGTTTCCATTCCAGATTTACTGGATCAGAATACTCCTTTTAACAAGATACCCAGGTGATTGCTATTAATATTTAGAATTTCAAATATCAATAGACGTATTTATTCATTCATTGAGCAAAAACAGCTCTGGAAAACAAATTCTGCCCTTTGTGCCCGCTTCGCACTGGCTCGGCTCGGTAGCAACCGAACCCCCAGGGACATCGGAGCGGGTGCTGCCGAGGGCAATTTGGTGATTGGCTGGTCAGACCACGTGACCGGCGCCAGGCCTCTCTTGTTACCGGATTGGCTCTCGTGGATTCTGACGGACAGGGCTGGGGCGGGCCGGAGCCCGGACGGAGAGGCGCGCGCGGGGGCGCGAAGCCACGAGAGCGCGAGTGCGCGTGCGCGAGCGGCGGGGCTTTCTCCGGAGCCGTCGGAGGGAGCCGGAGCGCTTCTCCTGAGGTAAGCGCCTCTGCGGGGCTGGCCCCTGCCCCTAGAGCGGCTGGTGGGGACTAGCCGGTTGGGCAGGGCTGGGCAGGTTAAAGGGGGAAGTCTGGGGTCCGCCCCGGGAGCTCTGCTTCGGGAAGGATGCAGACTCGCACTCAGCCACCCTGGTTGGGTGCCTCGGTTTCCCTTTTCCTAGCCTCAAAACGCACCTTCCTATCCTCACCACGGTGACGAGTCCGCCCGAAGGGAGTTGCCCATCTGGCAGCCTCGTCTCTGCCTTTGTTTCCCGCCTGGAGGGATGCTGGTATCGGCCCTCTCCTCGGGTAAAGGGTAAGCGTGGTGTGGCGGGGACATCAGTGGACTCCGGATCTGGGCTGGGGTCCGGGAGAGGATGGCTTTAATGCAGTGGGACCTGTCACATGTGAGAAGGAAGGCGAAAAAAAAATGTGTCACTTAAGCCAAGCCGCGGGACTCGAACTAATCCGGCGGCGAGCGATGCCGAATTCCTAGCGCAGCTGTGCGGGCGGGGGAGGGGGGCACAACCGGTGGACCGAGCCCAAGTGTTGCCCGTAGAAGGCTTCTCCGGACCTGCACGGGAGCTCTCACCCTAGAGTTGCATCGATACTGACGGCTTTTAGCCTGCCGAGGGAATCCAGATTTTCGTTAGGAGGTGAAAAAAAATTTTTTTAAGCAGTTGGGCACTGGTCTAAAGGAGCAGATCTAAATGAGAGGCTACAATAAGGAATTACAGTTAACAGCGAAACCGATGACTGGTAAATTGTGAGGAGGGAAATGCCTGCAGTGAGCTGCAGACCAGATCGTCACACAGATTCTCCTTCAAGAAGATAGGGGTTTAGGGGTGTCAGTGGGGGTGGGGTGGCCGTTATATCTGTAAACTGAGGTCTTCTGAGCTGCCGAAGAGAGTAATTATTTTGAGTCTGTTAATGGCCTGTAGGGAGGAGGGAAGGCATGGTGTAAATTAACACGTATTCGGATTCCCTTAATTCTTTGAAAAGTGCTTGTTTAAAGACCATTTGGATGCCAAAAACTGTTTGTGTGTTGGGGATGGACGATGTCTCCTTTAAGTCATAGTATAAAAAGGGAAGTTGTGTACAAGACATCTGCTTTTCTTCTCCATTTCCCTAGACCTATAATAGCAAGTGCATACTGTATATCCTATAATAAAATGTTAAAAGTCCCTTCAGTTTTCCACTAATTTGTTGGATGTATCTGGTAGTTTACTTGGTAAAAAATGGTTTGTCTGTCATTAGGAAGATTTTACCATATGCTGGAGTTTCACTGTAATCTATTTATAACTTATTCTGGTGTGAGATGGAGAAGAATCTTTCTACCTGATTCCTTTGGAGATCTGCTGATATTTCTTCAAAGCCCTTTCATTACTCTTACCTTCCCACATACAAAGTTTCATTTCCTTAGGAAACAATGTGATTTTTCAAACATTCAAGGCACACCTCATGCCTATGAAATGCCTACACTTGCTAAGAAATCAGTTTACTTGACAAGTTAAAACAAATTGAAGAAGGAACACTTAAATTCGTTAGGGGAATCAGAACATTTATCAGCTGTAGCAAATCAACTTTTTGATGGTTTTCTGATGTGAATGAAAGTAAAGTTGCTGCAAAGCTTTTGGGAATGTAACAAATGACCCTATTAAAGTGAATATAGATTGTTACCCCATAGATTGGAATGTAAATTAAATTAGTGGGAATAATTCAATTTAACCAATGATTGTTTTTTAAGATGGCATGTGATGGAGGGAAGAAGGAATTCTGAAGGTGGGGTAGGTAGTATAGTTTGAAAACATACGCTTTTATGTTTAGAAAAATGTCATTTTATTATAAATTATGTAAAGGTCATAGTACACTTATGTTTAGCCTTTGGAAGAGAGATAGGTTTTAAATTTATAGGTTTATACAGGGGGAAAGCGAAAGATTGGCTGGCTTAATTCATCTTGAGGGAAGCAGTGTACCTCAATGACCGACAAGATAAGGTTTTATTTTCTGGTTCAGTGAAAGCCTACTAGTGTTGCTTTCGAAACAACAAGGAAATCCTTTCCTTTCTGTCATTTCTGTCCTCTGGGTCAGGAACAGGGAGGATGGAGAGCAAATGAGAGAGATTAGAGTCCGACCTGCATACCTAAGCAATAGTGTCCTTTGAGCCGGATCTGTGTCATATTGTGTAAATATAAGAGCCTTCACATTGAGATGGGTCTGAGCACCTTCCCTAAGATGCATGCTATAAGATAAAGCTGGATAATGCTGCCACAGGTGGGGGCATGGGTGAGATCATCTGATACAGAAGTACTGGGGGAAGAGGAGAGCCAGGAAATGTTTAATTCAGTGAGGTACTGCTGCTTGCCTTTGGAGACTTAAGGAGGTATTTCCAGGCAGAGCTCATTATTGGCTAGCCTGGTTGGGCTTTGTATGGCTTCCACAGGAGCTGCCCTTCATGTGGAGACTCCTGCAGAGGTTCCGTTTTTCAGGTTGTAAGCATCAGTTATGTTTGTTACATGCTCTAGAAAAGAAAGGCTCACAAAGACACAGTCTAGCCTGCCATTCTTCCGGTCTTTGGCTCCTGTCTCCCACAGGCTTCCAGAAATAAGTTGTGCCCTCCCTACCAGTAGATGGCACTGCTGTCTCTGAAATTCCTGGAGGAGATGAAACAGAGCTGGCAAAGCAGTGGTGTGTAGCCTCCAGATTTAGAAAGGCTATCAACTCTTCCCCCCACCCCAAAAAAGGTTCTAAAAGCCAGAACTGTTTATATTAAGTAGAAATAATATGTGTTGGGGGGTTGAGGAATGCGTACAATTACTTTCCTGGTTGTGTATAGGGGGAAAAGGCAGAGGGTAAACTGACAAGCATTATATCATAGGTTTTTAAAAGCTCTTGGGATACATGTTGGTTAACTGACATGAGGTTGAAATCCTGATTTAATCATAATTCACAACAATTTCATAGTTCTAATTCTTTGCACATAAAGCTAGTCTACACATGACAGGACTACGGAAATATACGTGTGACTTTTAAACCCGATAAATATCCAGTAATTACATGCTCTTAAGGCAGTGGTGAGAGTCCTAGTAAAAGCAGTACCTGTTGTTATTGTACTGCAGGGCTGTCCAGATAGGTCCAAGTTATTCCGAATCAGTTTCTTCTAAAACTTGGAAATTACCAAGAAGTATTTTAAGGTTTTCTTAGCTAATGCAGTCCTTTCAAGATTATGGTATTTAAAATCTTGAATTTTGGTTTTATTAAGTTTGCTAGCCAGAGTTTACTTATCTATTCCCCTCCTTTGGGATAGCTGTTCTTTCTTTGTTATTGACTGTTTTTTGAGATGGAATTTGTAGCCCCGGTATTTGAAGGTGAGTGCTGTTGCCAGTGAAGTTACAATGTATATGAGAACCTCAGTTTTGACCCTGCCTGAGCTAGAGGATGCTTCCTCTGGGTGTCATTACCCCAGTCACCTGCTTCCTCGTGCAGTTCACTCTCTATGGCTCAGCTTATTCGAGGTTTATTTCTGTCTCCAAGAGAACTGATGAGCTGGTTTTTTACTACCAATGCCGAATCCTAAAATTCTGCTGGTGCTAGATGGCAGTAGTTACCACAGTCCATTAATATCGCCTCATTATGTGACCTCAAATAAATCTTTGCCTTTCTGAAACTCCGTTTTCTTGCCTCATCACTGGGATTGCTAACGTGTTACGTGTCTATTAAAATCTCGTTCAAGTCTTATTCTGTGGCAGGGTGACCCTTGTATTTCTGAAGCCTCTGAAAAATTCTCATCTAGAAGGCAATTTCATACTATGAGCCTAGGGCAAAAAGAAATCTCAATAATATTTCTTTCCAGAGAAATGATTATGTATTGTCTTAAAATCCTAATAATTCAGAGTTGGAAGAAACCCTATAGGTGGTTTAACTCAACTTTTTAATTTTATAGGCAGTTTCAACTCAGAACTGACTGATTGACCAAGCTAACAGAACTAGTTAGTAGAGAACTTGTTAGAGAACTAGGACCCAAGCTTCTACTCCTCTCCATCTTTCCTCCTTCAATGCTGCCTTTCTCCACTTGCCATCAGGACTCAGAATATGCTGTGTCTATAGGGCTGGAGCCAAAGAAAATTCTGAGTAATTCCTTAATGTATCATTTTAAAGCCACAGCACGAATAATCTTGAGTTTGGCTAGAGATTCAAGGTCAGGCTTTTCTTTGCAGCTTGTTCTTCACTGACTGATACTGCACACAATTTTTTTATGTACATCTTAGGGTTTTAAAACTTTTTGGATACTGTTTGCTAGAAGAAAAATAAAACTTTCATTATCCTAGAAGTGTCCCTTACCAATGAGATGTTCTTATATTAGGTTCATGGAACTCTGAATGCTGCATGGAAAGATGTCTATATAATAGGCTTCTTTTGTAATCCTATAACATTTAACACATTATTCTGAGGAGGAGTTTCTTTGACTTCAACAGACTGCCAAAGCTGGGTGGGGGGTGGTGAGGGAAGTAGAATTCATGGCACAAAAATAGGGTAGAAATTCTAGAGTCTAGAGTAGGTTGTGGAAAATTGCCAGGATGGGAGAGTTTTTGAGGAGCCGAAGACACTATAGTGCATGAGGGTTGGGGGTAGAGTATAGAAGTAAAACTATGAAAGTTCTTAGAACCTTTTACCTTTATTAAAATGTTTAAAATTGCTCACTAAAGGAAGATGCTAATAGTATTTTATTCATTTTAAATGAATAGTGGATGTGCAAATATTGATTTCCATTTATCATTGCTTGCCCAGTAAGTACTCCCTCATGATTTCACCAAAAACACTTCCATATTCATGTTCCTTCATTGAAGAGGACATGCATTGTAAGAGCCTCCTTTCTTCACCAATCTGCTTTGATTTCCAGATAGTTAGTGCTTTTCTGTCTTGTGATTTGGGGGTTTGACTCCTGTGTTTCACTTCTGAGGTCCTTCATTGCAGTGTTTTTTACTGTAAGCTCCTAGGACTCACCATGATCTGAGATGCAAAAATAGCATACATGTCAGGGATAAAAATCTTGAGGTTCTTTTCTTTGTCCTCAAGATTTATCATAGAAACTTCTGCTTCTTGGTTAATTTTCTTTTTCTTTTTCTTTTTTCTTTTTCTTTTTCTTTTTTTTTTTTTTTGAGGTTCTTTTCTTTGTCCTCAAGATTTATCATAGAAACTTCTGCTTCTTGGTTAATTATTTTATTTTTCTTTTCTTTTTTCTTTTTCTTTTTCTTTTTTTAAGATTATTTATTTATTTATTTGACGCAGAGAGAGAGCGATCACAAGTATGCAGAGAGGCAGGCAGAGAGAGAGAGGGGAAGCAGGCTCCCCGCCGAGCAGAGAGCCCGATGTGGGGCTTGATCCCAGGACCCTGGGATCATGACCTGAGCTGAAGGCAGAGGCTTTAACTCACTGAGCCACCCAGGCACCCTCTTTTTCTTTTTCTAATTGTCCCCCAAATAGTAGTAACTCAAAGTTTTTATATATTGAAAATATTTTTGGTTTTGCCAGAGCATATACAGAAGTTAATTTATGTTCAAGTCCTGTTTTGGACATGTGAAACACAACTTTGGTGGCAATCACTACATTATGAAGAACATCTGCTTTAAAATCTCCTGATGTCTTTTCTGTGTCACTTTTGGTACCATAGTGACCCAAACTGGTGAATGCTATCTTCTGGTTCCTTTTGGGTATGGGCCAGATTAGTATTTGTTCTTGCTTTAGCAGAAGAAAATTACCCTTTTCAGAAGGCTGTCAATTGAGTTTAACAGAAAAAAAGTCAAAATTTCTGCATTCTATTCCAGTACACTAATTTATTGTGAGATTTTGGGGGCATTATTGGCATCTCTGAGTTTATATCTTTGTCTAGAAAATAAGAGAGAAGAGTGACCAAGACTTAAATTCTTTCCATTTCTAGAAATCTGACTATATGAAATTTTATATGGTACCTAGACTATTTCCTAAAAGTGTTAGCTAGTTGGGAATTATAATCAAACTTGGTGCCAAGATAATTCTTTATATCTGAAAATTACTTTCTGGTTTACAAAAATATTCTCTATTTCCTTTTTAATGTGTGGTCAGAGAACAGTAGTATTGGTATCATCTGGGAGTTTGTGAGAAATGCAGAGTCTCAGGCTTCACTCAGGATCTACTGAAATAGAATACATCTCATCAAGATTTCCAGGTGCTATGTGTGCACATTAAAGTCTAGAAGTGCTGCTTAGTCTCATTTGGAGTTTCACATTAACCTTGTGAGGGAAGAGGTATTTTACAGATAAAAAATCAGGGAACAGAGATTTATTTGTTAAGTAATTAAGTCAAGGTTATTGTGCTACTGTCTTACCCAGAACGTTTTATCAAATATAATGTTGTCATCTTAGTTGGTCTGGAGCAGCCTTGTATGATAGATAATAACTATTAGCTGCCCAGCAGCACATGGTCTTAGGTGTGGCTGTGTTACTCATTCTAGCCAATAAAATGTGAGTGGAAGTGGAAGGGTGTTGCAAGCCACTTCCAGAAAAAAAAACACACAGGGCATAATACCATGTGAGTTTCCATGCTGTTTTCCACTTCTGGCTGGTTGGAATGGAGAGAAGATTCCTAGGGCAAGTTTAGAAATCAAGTTTTAAGAAAGGTGGCAAAACTTATGTTAGCCTGGGTACCTGGATCACTGTGTCAGTGAGGGCCACTCCACTGACTGACCAACCTGTTTACCTGTTCAATATGTATATGGGAGCCAGAAATAAACTTTTGTTGAGCTTGAGCCATTATATGTATTTGGGTCTATGTGTCCAGCACATAGACCACACAAATTCACTTGAGCAGTGCCTCTGGACTTCAAGTTGTGGGTCTTCATTTATTTATTTATTTATTTTGGCAGTTGGTGATCAGTCAGTGGTGGTCCAACATGCAGAAGTGAGTGAGTGGTGAAAAGCAGCAGAGCTGATGGGTCATGAGGATGTAAGTGCGTTGGAAGGCTCTCACACCCTTTACTCCAGGGTAAGTCAAAGGCATTCTCTGCCATTGTTTTTCTGGTTTTACTAAGTCCTAGAGGCTCTTGCCTCACAAGCCTGTTCGAGTCAGTGCAATGAATTTGTCTGTCTTTTAAAGTTTCCCAAAGCCTTTATTGATTCAATTTAGAGACACCGTACTAATTACCAGTTTTGAAGAGAAAATTCATCAAAGTGATGGGATGGAAACTCTGCATGGAAATCTCAACAGAGGACTTTTCAGTTAATTTGAATGGGTTTGATTTACACAGAGGAGCTGGTTGACTTTTCTGACATTATGAGTAGAGAAGGGAATAAGGCCTAACTGCATTTTTCCTGTAGCCATATCTTACTGTTAGCTCTGTTGGCATATATTCCCCTCTCCCAGCATCTTCCTATTCCATGGCTTACTTTGCTTAACTTTTCCTTCATTAATCATTTAGATTTTTTTCCAGGAAGGAAATAGCTTACTAGAGAGTTGATTCCCATTTTGGTGGATAATAATAGTAGCAAGCATGATTCTGCCTGTTCCATTTTATTTTATCTAGTGTCACTGGAAGCTACATGTCTGTTCACTTCTGTCTATTTGCGGTCCTTGGTATAATGAATGTGGGCATTGGGAGCATTATAATCAAAGCTGGCTTTGGATTTTCGGTGCTGAAGATTTTTGAGACCAGAGGGAGAAATTTACTATTTGGAATGCACTTGTCAGAATGCAAGTAGAGGTCCAGGAAGGATGGGTTGAAAGGACATCATAACCTTTCTGAGCTTCCTGGCTTTAAGAGCTTAAACTGAAATCAGACTCCTTGAAAAGAAAATTATATTTAATATGGCTCTAAATAGAGCTAAGGATGATTAGGAAAGAGAGATAGAGGTTAAAAAAAAAATGGTACTCAGCTGAAAAGCTGGATGGAGGGTTTTAAGCATCTCAGTTCAGTATTGTGGAGCCCTTGGCAGATAATGTCCCATTACCCAGGCTCATACAGAAGGCACCCAGAAAGGCTGATGTCCTTCAGTGCCTCACATGGCTCAGTAATGAGTACAATTTACGGAACGAAATAGACAATTAGGGACTGTAGATCTCTGGAGATTCCCATAAGCATACATCATTACTGCTCTGGAGTGATGCACATGCTTAGAGACAAGCAAAGCAGAGAAAAGGCAGCTGCAAAGCTCACGAACAACTGAAGAGTCCAGGTAAGCAGCCAGATACAGATCATAGCTCAGGGCTTGGAGGTTGCTAGTGCAGGGACCTGGTATTTGCTAGGTTTTCTCATTAAAGGAAAGAAGGCAGCCTTTGCTAGCTGTCCTCATTTTCCTCTATGACTCCCATATATTTTTTATGTTTAAAGTAACTAAAAAGTATAGAATGCCAGAAATAGCACTTGATTGGCATGTTTCTGTGTAAATACTATACAAGGATCAAACTGTAGAGGGAGCCATTCTTTATTGATTAGGGGGCTAAAGAAAGTCATGCTAGATTTCCCAGAGGAGCAGGGGTTGTCATTCTTGGCACCATTGGCATTCTGAGCCAGGCAGTTCTTTGTGGGGTGGCTGTCCTCTGCACTGTCGCCTGTTTGGCAGGGTCCTTGGCTTCTACCCTTTAGATTCCAGTAGTATTCCCCACAGTTAAAAATGTCTCTGGGGGCAGAGACAAACCACCGATTGTCCCCTGGAGGCAGGAAATTGCCTGATTGAGAACCACTGCTAAAGTAATACACTGAAGGGATTAAATTTTGCTGAGTTTTTCTGGGACTGTATTTTAACCATTTAGCCTCATTTTGCTAGTTTCCCTACCTGCAAATGAGACAGAATTAATAACTCTGTACCTAAGGAAGTGATGTACATAGTACTGTATGACTACATGGGGGCTCTATAAAGGTTAAGAAACATTATCTGTTTCCCCAAATTTCCAGGTCCCAAGGACACCTCTTGTGCAGGTATTAGCTGAGGAATATTGGGAGTTTGAAGAAGGGCAAATGATTAGTGGTAGGGGAAATAATGAACAGTACTGGATTCTGATTTTATCTGAAAGCTTCATGCCCTATTCATTGCAGCAAAATATTCTGAATGAAGGCTTTCTTCTGGGAAGTTAAGAGGGAGTGAAGGAGGCAGAAAGGTTATTGAGAAGAAAAGTGAAGGAAATTGCTTTTTTAGAAAGTTTAAATTTAAATATAGTTGACACAGAATGTTGTGTTAGTTTCAGGTGTACAACATACTGATTCAACTTCTTTATATGTTCTGCTATGCTCACCACAAATGTAGCTCCCATCTGTCACCATACAATGCTATTACTATATCATTGACTATATTCCCTATGCTGTGCCTTTTATTCCTGTGACTTATTCCATAGCTAGAAGGTTGTACCTCCCTCTCCCCTTCACCCATTTATGCCCATCCAACCACCTCCCTCACCTCTACCAGTTTGTTCTCTTTGTTTATAGGTCTGGTTCTGCTTTGTTTATTCATTTGTTTTGTTTTTTAGATTATGTTTTTTAGACATATGAGTGAAATCATAGGGTATTTGTCTTTCTTAGTCTGACTTATTTTCCTCAACATAGATTAATCCATGTTGTCATGAGTGGCAAGATTTCACTTTTTTTATGGCTGTGTGATATTCCCGTGTGTGTGTGTGTGTGTGTGTGTGTGTGTGTGTACACATACCACATCTAAGAAATTGTTTTTGAGGGGGTAATCTCTTAATGTTAAAATGACTGATGTGTAAGTATACCAAAGAACATAAGTAATCCTCAAAGGAAATACAAATCAAAACCATGATGCGATATCACCGCACATCTGTCAAAATGTCTAAAATTAATAACTCATGTCTGTGAGGATGTGGAGAAAGGGGACCCCTTTTGCACTTTTGGTGGGAATGCAAACTGGTGCAGCCACTCTGGAAAATAGTATGGAAAGTCCTCAAAACATTAAAAATAGAACTGCCCTACGACCCAGCAATTGTACTACTAGGTATCTATCCAAAGGATACAAAAATGATGATGCAGCAGGCACATGTACCCCAATGTTTATAGCAGCACTATCAACAACAGCCAAATTATGGAAAAAGCCCAAATGTCCATTGGCTGACGAATAGATGAGGAAGATGTGGTATATATGTATGATGGAATATTATGCAGCCATCAAAAAGAATGAAATTTTTGCCTTTTGTAACAATGTGGGCGGAACTAGAGTGTATTATGCTGAGCAAAGTAAGTCAGACAAATACCATATGATTCACTTATGTGAAGTTTAAGAAACAAAACAGATGAGCATAGGGGAAGGGAAGGACAAGTAAGATTAAAGAAACAGAGGGAGATAAACCATAAAAGACTTTTAAGTAGAGAACAAACTGAGGGTTACTGGAGGAGAGATGTCTGGGAGGATGGGATAAATGGATGATGGTCATTAAGGAGGGCACTTGTGATGAGCCCTGAGTGTTACACATAAGTGATGAATCACTGTATGTGTGTGTGTGTGTGTGTGTGTGTATTTATATTTATATTTACATTTATATTTTAAGATTTTATTCATTCACTTGACAGAGTGAGAGAGCACAGGCAGGGAGAGCTGCAGAGGGAGAGGGAGAAGCATGTTCCCTACTGAGGAGGGAGCCCCATGCAGGGCTTGATCCCAGGACCCTGAGATCATGACCTAGACCAAAGGCAGATGCTTAACCAGCTGAGCCATCCATGAACTCCTGAATCCCTATATTTTATTCCTGAAACCAATACTACACTATATGTCAGCTAATTTGAATTTAAATTGACAAAAAAAGTAACTATCAAAAGAAATCTATCCTCCCAACTGACTGCTGATCCTAGAACAATTTTGCTGGTAATACAATACACAAGAATGTTTGGAGAAACATTTTTATTCTAGAACCTTTTTATTTTCTGTTTCTTCTTTGGGAGTATGGAAAGGGTTTATCTTTAATCGTATGCCTTTTGAGTGATAGATAAAAGGTTTTAATATAACATGTTCTTTTGTTACTTCTAGAACTCTTGTTGAAATGGTGAAAGAGGCAGTAACCCTCACCTAGACCTGAAGCAATTACATTATTCTAACAGAAAACCTTATTTTGACTCTAAGATAGGGTCAGTGCAGGAATTAGGGGTAGACTGTCCTGGCAGCTTTGAGTTCAGCCCTGCTGTGTTTCTGGTCCCTGTAATTGTTAGACAAACCACAGAATTTACAACAAGTAAGACCTTCAGGTGATTCTGATGGATGCTTAAATTTGAAAAACACTGCTCTTGTCATTTCTGATGTTGTGAAATCTTATGAATTGTGTCTGTGTGGCAGGGAGGACACCAAGAAAGTATTTTTCCAGGTGGTCAGAAGATATGTAAGATTTTTGTGTGTGTGATAACCTCTTAGATCATTTTCCCAAATCATGGTCTAAGCCTTTTCCTGCCTTGTTCAATATAGTAGCCACTAACCTCATGTATCTATTTTTATTTAAATTAACATTAAACTAGAAATTCAGTCCTTCATTTGCACTAGCCACATTTCAAGTGCTTCATTGCCACATGTAGTTGATACCATATTGGACAGTGCAGACACAGGCTATGTCCATAATCCCAGGAATTTTTACTGGGCATAGAGCTTTAGTCTGTAAGGACCCTATTTGTTGGAAACCCTTATTTTTAGTGATAGTGTGCTCTTGTTATAACAAGACATTGCCTCATTTAAAACAATTGCATTTTGGACTTTATCTTGAGCTTTTAAGTCTGTGAGTGTATCTTGCTGAACTTTTTTACATTGCTGTTTAATCTCTTACAGAAAGTGCCGTGGGCTTGTCTCTCTGACATAATTGAGTATACTACCTCTAAAATATTTGCCCTTTAACCCAAGGTTTCTGAGCTGTCTCTTTCCATTTGGTCTCTCCACATCCTGACCCTCAGTGGTGAAGCTTGTTTGTGTAGGATGTCTCTTTTGATACTGCCTAGAGCTTAGCAAAGAGTCTGGGAGAGTGGTAAGAGAATTTTCACCTTTGCTTCTGCCAAGCCCCAG